CATCTACATGACATTGTTTCTGTTTGTGTTTTTACAGATTTGGTCATCGTCGTAGGTTCTTGCATGGCATGGCATGGTATGGTATGCTATACTACGCACATCGCACTCTGCTACGTTTCTAATATCTTTCAATCCCACCACAAAACAAAAGAAAAAAAACACTGAACATGAGAACATTAACCCTACATAAAAGCATGCCCACACGCGCGCGCGCATACACATAGAGAAACAAACACACACACATGGACACGAAACCACAGCAATCAACATTAAGCAGTATCTGTAGGCACCTTTATTTTTCTTTTTAGGATGAGCAGAGCGTTAAGGGATACACATCTTCTCTCTCGCCTTCTGTGCGACCGAATTGGTGACTTTTGGTATATTGTTGCTATAGTATAGTATGGTACAGTGTAGGATACAAGACTACAAGTAAAACATGGATAGGGCGGTGGGATGTTTTGCGATGCGGAATAGTTAATGATGCCAACTACATGCATGAATGCATGCAAGTCATTTCGTCCAAGAAGGGAAAACATGTCGACCCCCAGAGTTGGTTCGGATGAGATGGACGCACGTGGGCTGCAAGATCGTACTCCGAGACCCTGTTTTTCCTTTTTTTTCTTGTTAATTGTTGTAGGGAATCCGCGGGCGACGGTAGTGTGTTTGTGTTGTGTGGTGTGTTGCATTATTGTGTCGCGTGGTGGTGAGGTAGTGAGTGAGCCTTTTTTCTTTGATATGAGGTATTTGTTTTAGTGTGGAGTCCTGTCTAGTGCATCAATCGTATTTATGGTGCGCGTCTCGTCTGCATGTGCATCTCTCCGCGTGCACGATCCATTCGTTCTACAATAATAAGTGGAACGGAACATCACAGGCAGAGGACAAATTTGTTTTCTGTTTTACATTTCGTGAAATTCATTGGTTTAGGTTTACATATCATCGTTTCAGTTGCACGCTAGTCTCATGCGTCCCGCGTCCCTCGTCCCTGATCCAAAATATCGGTCGAGTATCTCATTCCCATATCCATCGCTGGAAAGCTACGCACCCTGTCTAATACATGATGCTGCTGATTCATCTTCCACAAAACTCCGTCTAGACGTCAATGGCATCGACGGTAACACCCTTGACCCAGGTATACTGCATGGATCGGGCGACCTCGAGAGCCGACTCGTGAGAAACAAGGGAACCTACTAGATACAGGGAAGCATCCAGACCAGCTGTGACACCTCCGGTGGTGATAACGCGCATGCCACCGAGAGGAAGAGCAGCACGGCGAGCGACGGACTCGCGACGGCGGGACTCCTTCCAGGCGTTGCTACCCTTGCGGGCGATAGACTTCCTACGACCGTGCTGGGTGTTGGGACCCTCAGTAGCACCGGTACGGGACTTCTTGGTAATGTATGGGTTCTCGTCTGGGTTCTCACCGAGATCGAAGCGGGCGTTGTTGACGACGTAGCGCTCCTCCATGACGTCGGTACGCATGGACATGTCGCGGGTCGACGCGTCCTGGCAGATGGTCTCGAGACGAGGATAGTAGTCAGGGTGGGTGGTGGCAGCGAGACCCTCGAGAAGACCCTGGCGACCGAGGAGGAGGGAGCCGGTATCAATGGCAAGAATGGTGCGCTCTTTGGCAGGGTTCTTCTCCTGAAGTTCGACGTACTTCGAGAGGATGCTAAGAGGCTCTGCCTTCTTGTCAAGGACGTCAAAGACACCCTCGCCGCCGGGGACGATGATGACATCGAAATCCTCCAGCTCGTCGTTGGCGTCGTCGTAGTCCATATCAGCCTTGATGGTAAGGCCCTGGACGGAGGTCATGGCAGCCGCGGTGCCTACGAATTGGCATTCGAAGCCTTTGGTAGCTGCGGGGTTCGAGTCAGCAATGGATCAATGTAGAATTGGCGGGGCAGGAACGGCAGAAAGAGTTGGAAGAGAGGGGAAACATACATTTATCTTTGGGGTCGTGGAGGGAGCGATTGAGGACCTCGAGAGGACCAGCAACGTCGAGGGTGTTGTAGTTGGGGTAGAGAGCGAAGAGCACCTTGACGACCTCGATGGGGCCGTCGGTGTTGTCAGCAATTGCACTCATCTTGACGGTATTGATTTGTTGTTGTGACGGGTTGGCGTTGGCTTGGAATGTTGAAGGATGATGAAGGTGCGTGGATGAGGATTGGAAGTTGAAGAAGGATGAAGTTGTGAGTTGTTGTTGATGGAAAAAGGAAGAAGAAGTGGTGTGAGATGAAGGTGGAGTGAGACAGAGGAAGGGGTGGGTTTATAAGTAGGTAGGGATGGGATGGGGAGGAGGAGGGGGTTAATAAAGAAGACGAGTGAAGGGAAGCCAGTGCGAGTGCGAGGGGGTTCTTGAGTGTCTGAGTGAGTCTTAGTGCCATGTTGTGTTGCCCATTTCTGCCATGGGGAGTGCGGGGAAGCTCTCGTCCTTTGGCGGTGATAGGCTGATTCGTTCAATCACCAGGTACTTACATCACATAGCTCACTAGCACGGAGGGACATGTACTCGTACCTCGACGGGCGATGAATAAGAAAGACTACGCGCAAATCACGATCAATCAGTCATTTCACCCGTTCCCTAGTCCCATCGAATCAATTGAAAGATCTTGATTCATTTTAAGATCAGATCCATGTCTCCATGTCCCAATTACTCGCATTGTTGGGGGTATTTTGCATCGATGAATGTGCATTCCGAGCTGTCCAAGGCATGACGACGGAACGGAACAGCTTCAGTGACAGGGGAGGGGGAGCAGTAAAGCTGGGGAAGTGGGTCTCTCTGGAAGGCAGGAGCGGGGCATCGACCCCACCCGCACCTGCCTCATGGAATCCACTCCCCTACAAAGGTACCTCAATCACTCTCATTCACCATCGTCGACGTGAAGTGAAAGAATAAAGTGAAACAAGTTCATTCAATCATCACCAGAAGTGTTTCGAAGTTCAAACTCAAGCAGGGAGTACGACCAGGGAGGAGCGATGGGAGAGGAACGAATGATTCAAATGCTACGAGGTAGGGTCGGTCCACCTACCCAGTCACGCAGTCGGTCCCACCCGAAGTAGAGGATCATCACCTGAGGACATTCCAGATTCGCTCTTCGCTCTTCGCTCTCCTGAGGGTCACGCGCAGATGATACGGAGTACCTATGTACTTCTACTCCACTCCGCAAGTACTTCCTCTCTTACTCTTGCTGCAAGTATTCGTAATTCGCATCCATGCTGATACTCGAAGCAATTACTCTGTACCTCATATGGCTGTGCAGATAATGGTCCCAATAATCCCAAATGATTCCACTTGATGTCCTTTCGGGAAATCCTTCGAACGATGGTAGTACGTCACCCTTCATCTATTTCCCACCTTCCTTACCCCTCACTACTGCACCTTCTCCCATCCCCTCCGATCTGTCTCCACTCTCTAAGAGACTACTACAGTGCACACGTGACCATATCTCTTCTCATCAAATGAAGGCATAACTTCGGCCGGTAGAGAGACTGACTTCCCCGACCAATGAGCCTCCGCGGTTCCTGTAGCACGACACCATTCGAGGTACCCACATCACCACACCACAACCACTTCAACTGTCTGCACCTCTGCTTGTCTTCATACAATGGTGGTGATACAAAGACGCGACAACCACTGTATCTAGGTATCTATCGACCACCACAACTGTACGGAGTAATTGGTCCACCCCGACTGACTCACCATATCATTGCTACCACATGAGAAACAAGACTGTCGTTCATTGCAACACGTCTTCAATGTCTTTTAATGTAATCTAGACTAGGGCTCTACATGCTATTTGAAACTTCTCCACACTTGCCATTGCCATTGACACTATCTTCACACATAGAAACAACAAATAATGAACAACACAAGCCATACCTTTCCCAAGCAACCCAGCCCACTTCCATGCTATGCCAATCTCCCCTCTGGCCATGTCAAGTTGACTACATTTGCATATCATCAACGTGTACGACCATCCATATGTACAAATGCAGCCAAATCTCCCCCTCCTAGCTGCTACACCCCGTCACACAATTAGAATCCTTTTCACCTACCTAGTCAACCGCCAGCTCGTCTCCTTACTTGGACCCGACAGCGCGTATCTGCGATGGCATTCCCGAGAGGCGGAAGCGGAAGCGTCTAGACCTCCTCGCGCTATGTATGCATGTACCCGTACCCGTACCGTACATCGCAGCTAGCGTAGATGGGAAGGACACATGGGCAGTCTAGGGCGGGCGAGACGTGCATGTATCAAACACTTCGAGAGTATGAGGAGGATGAGATAGAATTGAATGCATGTTTGGTAGTGTTTTTGGGTTGGAACTGTGTTTTGTATGGCCTCGAGATGGTGGTGTCTCCCATGTGCCTTCGTTGAGGTTCTTTTACGTTGGCTACATGCGTGAGAGGCAATGGGGAACAGAAGATATCTTGAATCTCCTCCTATTCATTCAATCTTTTGTTCAAAGACCTGGAAACCCCACGAGCGTGACAATTTCCCGTGGATGCAATTCCTACCACAAAGCGTCGCCCCATGAAAAGGAAAGAGAGACAACTTTGAACATGCACCTTCTTTTCATTTCCTTGATAGGTAGTAGGTACTCAATCTTTCCCTTCAAAACGTGTATTTTCATCTATCGCAGACATTACGACGATGTAAAGTTTCGATTCTTTTTCCCTTTTCTCTTTGCCGTTTGTTTCATTTTTCCGTTTTCTTTTTCGAATCTTGCATTTGGTTTGCTTTTTCTTGATCCTCCGATCCTGCAATCCTTTTATTGACTACCATCATCACATATCATAATCCCATTATATCATTCATTAGGTACCCAAGTGACCAACTCTATACGCCGCAGCCACAGTCGTATCCGAAATCCTTCCGGTTCAAAAAGCAAAAAGTGACCTCGTCCCTCGAAAACAACCCATCCCACAACCTCACCAACCTCCCCACCAATCCCCAACCCAGTAGCACAAAAAGGATTCACGACCATCAACCCCTCGACCAACCCACCTTACCAATCCCAATCCCAATCGTCCCACCTAGCCCACGGCAACCGGCCGCTCCCGCACCCGCGTCCGTGCCCGCGCCCCCTTCCCCCATTGTAGGTAACATACACAGTACAATAGCCAGAAGAAACATGAAACATACCTTCCTCCCCCTGGCATCTCCCCATCCCGTCCTCCGGTCCCTCGTCACGATATCAAAGCGTCAGTGGACCGTGCCGTGCTTCTTCCATCACTCACTCACATGTAGGGGATACGAGCTGCCCCGTCAGTCAGTCACTTACTTGAATTGAATTATCTATCTATAGCTCGCACGCGTACCTATAGCACACCTTACATATGTAGGGTCCAGGGGCAAAGCAACGCACAGCAGATGGGGAAATAAAAAACGAAACGACGAAAGAAACCCACCACCCAACCGGATTCCCACGGCATGTCGTGTGTCGAGCAACAGGGAAGGAAGGGGGGGAGGGAGGGAAGAAGAGCCCGAATCGGGATGCGTCCCGCGTGCCCCGCGGACTGGGCGTGTGCTTCTGCTTCGGGGGTGTGGGATGTCGTTTTCTTTTTTGAAGAGGTGGTGGTGAATTGGCGGTATGACAAGCAGTGCCTACCTATATGGCGGGAGAATGCTGTGTAGACTGGGCAGCGTTGGGCGGGTGCTGTTGTGTGTTGCTGTTGTTGTTCGAGTGCACGGGTGGAGGGAGGGAGCGGGTGGGTAGGTGGGTTGATGACGGGTCCCGCGGCCATGGTATTGGGACTGCTCGGGACGGACGTGTCGGCGGTATTATTGTTGACGTTGGGTTTTTGTCGGGTTGGGTCGTTTGGGCGGTGGGAGAAGGGTAGTTAGAGGTCATTGCGCGGGTGTGTGTCTGTGTCTGTGTCTGTGTCGCGCGGTCTCTTGTGATATCGGGGCGAGCAGACGGGTGGCTGCGTTTGAGGGATGGAAGAGACGTTGTTTCGGTAGCGAATGGTTCGTCGAGCTAGGAGACAGATGCACGTCGGGGGGGAATTATGGGGTCATGGTGGATAACGCGGGACAAAAGGGAGAGGAAATGGGAAGAAGAACGAGGGAGAGAAAGAAAAAGGAATTGATTGATTCGTGAATGTGGTTTCGCTGCAATATCCTTCGTATCCATATCCATTAGATGTCGATTTCGCCAATTCGCCGCACGCAACACCAAACCCATCCTTTTTTGGAAATGCCTCAAGAACAATATGCTAGTTTCCTTTTCCCCCTTCCAGAATAAACGCCAAACAAATGAGATGAATTGTATAGAAATGAAGCAACGTAGTCGAATGTTGAAATGTGAGGGGCAATCCTGCAAGAGCCTTTGAGAAATCCAACACTAGATCGATCCGCGAGCTGCCCTTCTTCTACCCCGAATGTGATTATTTCGTGTCTATTCCTTGCACTCCACGGTGAAGCATTATTGCCGGCGGTATTGAGCTTCTGCCATCGAAACAATGCTTCCAAAATGTGCGAGGTAAGTAGCTTCTCACAAGCCGACATCTCCCTGGCCAGCGGAACTTCGGGCCGCAGGCGAGCTGCAGAGATGGTGCCCAACGTAGCTGCTCGCACTTTTCCTCGATAGATGTTGAACCACACATACTTGTTGAAGTGAGATAAGTTGGATGAAGCCACATCGCCTTCTCAGCTCCATATCTCTCGGTCCTGCTTTGTCTGTGGCGTTATCTGTCTCTTGAAATGCATGGGTGAATCCTTAAAGTCGCTATCGCTGGAGGGAGGCCCATTCATATCGATGGCGGGGAAATCGCCGAGCTTGCTTTCGAGCATCTGAAAGTCCTGACTGTACGTCTTCGACGGGACAGCGTCGATGCCAACCTGCAACGAGGACACGTCGATGGGAAGGGGCACTGGCAACGAGATGTCCTCCTTCGGTCTCTGTACGAAATAGGCACCGTCTTTCATGTCATTCGGATTCTGCACCCGTTGGATTCCTGGATCAGCGAAACGCTCCGCCAGGATCTTGCGTAGCACTCGTTCCACTTGCTCGTCGGACGGTCCCTGCCAGGCTTGCCGGTCCTCGAGATAGGATATTCGCTGGTGTAGTGCTCGGAAAGCTTGTTCGCTTCGATGCATAAACTCCTTGTACCAATTGGCGATCTGCTGGAACGAGTCGTTTATCCTTTGGAGTTGGTAGTTCCAGGACATCTTGAGCGGATGTGATAGTGTTTCCGGTGCGTTAGAGCCAGACAGACAGAGATTTATGTACGCAAGCGGTGCTAATACTACACGCGGGGCGTGCTGTAGCCCAGTCCAGTCCGTGTAGAGGTGCCCGAGTGGTGGGTAGTGATAGAAGACGAAGAGCACGCCAGAGCTAGAGTGGTCAAGAAGTTTGATTGGGGTAAGGAAGACTGATAAAGGTTTCAAACGGGATGGTAATCCGGGCAAGTGGTACCTCAGCGAGTCTCAGTAGGTATGCACGTAAGCCTTGCTGGAAGGGCAATGGAATTCCGGAGTGCTGGGGTTTGCATTCAAAACGAGTTAGGACCGTCAAGTCAGTATTAGCGTGGGACACGGCAGTAGAATGATATCGAGCATCGAGGCATCGAAACGTGGACAAAGGTGATTAAGATATGGCGGATGGCTGGCTCAGCACGGGCACCAGAGGGAGGGGGAGACTAGTATCTTTCGTTGCATCATCGAGATGGGCCATGGGCGGCAATGGCGTGGCAAGCCGATGGGCAACCTACGCAGATTACAGGACGGTACAGGAAGCCTGCAGTGTTGGACAGGCTGGACAGTGCTACGACCCGGGGCCAAGAGGCTACAGCAAGTCAGATGAAGCGAACAATTCGAGGGAATGCAGGGAAAGAGATAATTGAGCAGCAATACAAGCAATCTGAGAGGTCCGTTGGAGAAAAAGGCGGGTAAATCCAACCGTGCAAAATGCGTGGATCGACAGGGCTAGCAACCAGTGAGTATCGCGACTCGGACTGCAGTATTCAGGCGAAGAGGATGAGGGCCATGCCACCACTATGGCTATGGTGGAACTGCTTCCCAATCCCTCCACGCCTAGGTACAGCTCGATGCAATACAATGCACTTACAGCTACAACGTCCATATGGAGCAGAGGTGGCTCCGTCTAGTCTCGATCGGGCAAAGTAGAGGTGCAAGAGTGAATTCAGAGCCTTGGGAGGTCCAGGGGGCGTCTACACGGATCCACCAACGTACGACCTCAGTGATTTGCTGGGGCACTGGGAGTCGGCAACGTCCAACACATGTATGCAATTGGACGGTCTAGGGTGGTTAGAACGAAACGAGACAAGAGGATACACAACGAAGCGATAGCTGGGTAGACCGTGGCCCATAGACGGGAGGGGGAGAGGGCGAGGGCGTGCACCACATGCACATACGCACAAGCAACAGGCACAAGCAAGCCCATGTCCTGCGAGCAACCAAGTACGGCATCGCGGGCTGCGGATGCAGCTTCCGCGAGGTGGGTGTATGTTACATGCGTGAGAAAAGATGGGTGTAGGTGTGGGTGTGGGTGTGTAGCCAGTGGAGGTACTGTGTATGTGTGTGGGTGGGTATGTCTGGGGTTCATTTAATAACTAATAAGATGTATGCTAATTTTGGTGTAACTCAATGAAAGAGGAGTACGGAGTACATACTATAGGTACGTACAGTAATACTCCGTACACATAAGAGAGGAACAGGCAAAGGGAGAGAAAGAGAAGAGAAGATGGTGGAGTGGATCTGGATTGGATAGGAGAGACGACATGAGTGCACAAAAGGGGTTTAGTCTGGCCCTCCTCTCAATGGATCTTCTTTTCACCCTCTGACTACTACCCAGGCATACCCAGGTACAGAGAGGAGGCGTCTCTTCCAATCTCTTCTCTTTCCTATCCTCGATTCTCAATTCTGATCCATTATCCCGTACTCCGTACTTCGATACTGTATGGATGCACACCACCTCATATCAGCAAGGTATAGGCATGCACGGCGCATTCATGCACGCACGTATACATAATTGATTTGTATGTACATGTGCGTGCTCCATGTGCAGACCGTATACTTACAGAGCAATTATCTGCTTGTACATACCTACACAGTACTCCGTACTGTGCACCAGTAGCTACGATACGGTGTAAACTCTCTTCCAGATGCAAGCGTTCAAGCCACCGGCGATCGGACTACCCGGCCCCCTTAGTGGCCATAACGCGACCAGCACCCATTCCTTCGCCTGATAGACTTGTGTGGTTTTAGCCAGGGTTTCCGAGGTCAATCTCAACTCGCCTGTCTTGTCGTTGCGTCAGGTTTTCAGCTCCTTCGGAAATGAATGTAGGCATGAGACATTAGAGCCCGACAATTCGCCAACAAATTACTATATTCAACAATGAAGTTTGCCATCATGGCCACCCAGCCAGCCAGCCGGCCCACGACTGTTCTCACCGTGCACAAGTCACAAGTTCGTTCCTCCATGAGTCGAGGCGAAGCCTTTTAGTGCCGACGCGCTTGATCGGGAGGTGTTCCTATTGAGTGCTGGACTTCTGGCTTTGGTCCCTGATCGGTGAAGTCGATGCAGCCGCTATCCAGCGCCAAAGCCAACGTTCGCCAGCGATCAGCATCATCCAGCGACAACACCTGTTCCTTCCGGACCCTTGCCGAATCAGGTCCTGAGTCTTGACGTCTAGACATTGCGAGCTCAGTAAGCTACGAGTTAGGCTCGTCTCGCTTCCTCCCTAATCGAGCACTGGAAGTGTGCTTGACTCGCTGTCTCATTGCTCTCTTCCTGGGGCCTCTGTATGTCATGCAGCATCGTGCCACGCTGCGGTCTGGTGGCTCCTCGTGCAAATAGAACCGACCAAACACTCTGGAGTGGTAACAGTCACCAGTGTAAGCGTCCGAAGATGCACATGCAAACCTGGACACATGATCTCCGAGGCAGTTGTTGTCCTAGAACATGTCTCGAATGCAGTGCTTCTTCTACATCCACGATCCTGAATACATGTTCGAGCATATACCGTGCTTCCTCTACACCGCACAAACGCGTACAAGTTCGCTCTGCAGACCGCCCTTCAGTCAGTCAGCCAGTCCAGTCCGGGCCCAATCTCATGACTTCCCCCAATCAGGCCTTGCTGCAACGCGTACAATGGACCTATATCTAGATGACTCAATGAGATCTCAGCGTCATTACCAGCCAACTGCGTATTCTCTTGGACTACAGTCCATGACGACCTTGAATGCAAAGGCGTATTGAGATCCTATCACGGTCACCCCAGTTATGCATCCATTCACGTCATGCCACATTATTTCGTTTACTGCGGCTCTATCACTAGTTTTTGGACCCTGGTCATGATGATTGGTCCATGCCTTTAAACTCTCCCGGGTGCGGCCGCCGTCTTGTCCACCAGACCCGTAGCTGGGCACGGCTCGTTTCCCCACTCTTCGCCTGCGGGAGCAGTGGTTTCATCCAATGTGCTTTCAATTGGTGCCGCACGGGTGGATCTGTTCTACCTAGCACGTTGCTTCCTTCGAAGCATATCCGTGTGCCTATTCTATCTTTGCCCATTCGGTACCACATGCACAATCTCTTCCCCACATCTGATTGCAAGCAGATCGGCGCCATTGCTAGGAACAAGACATGTACCTATAGGCTATGCCTAACAACAAACCCCAGCGAACCGATCCCCAATTCAATAAATGCACTGATTAGGTTCAACCGCTGCATGGTCCTAGCGATATCGTGCTGATGCAATACGCGATAGGATGGGATTCTAGGCATTGATGTGAGATTATTCCGTAGGAATCCCTTAGCCATTTCTGTGGCTGCGTCCGAACAAAGGTTTGGCGAAGGTCATGCGCAATATGATGCTAGGAAACGGCAAGTTTCGGTATGGCGAATGTGCTGGCATGTAATATGTGCCACTGTTAAGGCCTCATGCGGTGAAAACACTAGGGGAAGCGGCTTGCCGCTTGTGACAATGAACGAGTCATTGAACCGATTTCACCGTTCCTGAAGTGAAACGTTTCTATTAATTTCCTCGAGGATTCAGATGTCGCCCTGTACTACAAATGTGAAGAAGTGGAGTCCGGGAATAGCTGGTTGTAAGATCGCATCATATGCGCTTGCCAAACTAACTAGCTTTTGGGGCGTCCAAGTCCGTAACGTAGGTGATAGGGAGATTGGAAATGGCAGCCGTAGCAGCTTCCAGCTAAGTGTTTACTCTGATTGTCTGCTTCCTGTTCATAGATGTCCTCTGGCTGGAATCACCGAGACGTCAATTCACAAAGCAACTGTATCGCACGAGTCGGAATCCTCCATTCGTCCTGTCGCCGCATCCTCAGAGCTATATCAAAACCTTGCCTCATGATATTTGATTCAACTCGGCGGGTATGAAAACTGGAGATGTCTGGATCATTCGTGGTGTACCTACACGACAATGTAGACAACAACCGACGATTTCAGGCAACCTAGCAACCTAGCAATTGATAGAGACTAATCAGATCACAGCATCTCATATTAAGTCGCTAGTCATGGATTATTTTCTTAAAGCTAGGCATTGTTATTCACCCCCACGCGTCCAGGATACTTAGGCATTGACCTCCTCTGCCACAAGGTTTCGTTGTCTTGCGAGATGCGAGCCGCGACCCCTTTCAGTTCAATGATAGAGAGTGCAAGAACTGTTGAGCACTACTGTGTATTCTACTACTAGAGATCTTCTTCCAACGACACAATCACCACCGGTCGTGCCAGGTAAGAGCGCAGCACCGTCTTTGGCAGGAGCAAAATATACCATCTACTAGTTGCGTCCTGGCGCTGCTGTGAGCCATACCGATTCATCCCAACCATTCGTAATAAGCGCCATCACCATTAGACATGCACAGTTTTTCTTAGACATGCACAGTTTTTCTTGCAGGCATATCAAAAAAATCAGGCAATGTTCCCACCACTGAGATGAAGCTATGCTTCCGCTACCGGAGGCATTGTCCTCCAGGGCCAATACAAACTGATGAATGGTTTTGAATTTCACTTGTTGGGCCATCACATCCAACATTAACAGAATCCGCAATCCTGATTTGGTCATTCCTGCATTCTTTCTTAACATGAAAGATTGAAATCTACTATATGCAGGCTTTCAGTCACGTTTCTTTCTAGAATCAGGCCACCGCGGATCAGGCCCTTCACAGCATCCTGCCGGCAAATGCCTGAAGCACACGTCGGAACGTTGCTGATCATGATCGGAACTTCCAACCTTCTTATGCATGGCTGCGCAGATTCAGTTAGATAGAACCGGTCAGTTGGGTCATTTGTCAGTTGCAGGTGTCTTGTCATGGTTTCTTTTGCAACTTTGACTCGCCACAACCACCATGCTGTCTACATTACAAAACCCAGAACGTGAACGTACATCCGCCGCTACCGCATACTCCTGTGCCTCTGGAGAATTCCGAAAATCAACGGAGTACAGCCCAAAACGCGGCTTGTCGCAATTTCACAGTGGTCAGCGTGTTCTAATTGTGTATCTACAGCCCATACCCTTGGTACTAGGGCGCTCGCCCATCGCCGATGTCTGACAGGTCGCCGCGTACAACGACCCAAAGTGGTACGATTTGAAGCTACTCGACACCGTTCAGAGACAAGCCATGATAGCACACCGAGTACATTTCGCGACAGATCGGCAGCTACACAGAGTATTGAATTCAGCCTGTAACAGCAACTACATACGCCTCTTTTCCTCCCCATGCGTGTGTTCCGCGGAGTGTCAAGAGGCAAAGAATTTCGGCCGAAAAAGGTATACTCATTATCTCGCCAGCAAGATATCTGTGAGTTTTGGTCGAATCATCTGCTTATACCAGAAATTGACTTCGTAATCATTCGTGAGAAACGAGTAAATCGAGATATATTCACCAATATCTGCAAGGGATGAAGGCATCCTGCAATTGACCGTCCATCCCGTCAGTTTGGTACGAGCACGATAACATTCGATGCAGTACGGAGCACACATGTAATACTCCTTAACTTGGCGCATTTCCCCCGAACATGTCCAGGGACCCGCGAAGGGGAGGCAAAGCAGGGACACTTGCAGCATTATTCCCACCACGGGCCCCTCCCCATCCAGTCAATTTGCTTGCGCACTGTCTCTCTTTCTCGCGGGAGGCCTGTCGTCAACACTCGCCCAGTCGGCAAGCGAGTCATGGCGGGTTGGGCAGCCGGGGCTGATCGGGGGTTGAGGGTGCCAGGGTCGCAATAATGGGAAAAAATACCTAATCACCTGTTTCGAAAATAGAAGTATTCTGTTCGACCGTGTTTACAATGTTTGGCGAATGATTCTACCGCAAGGATATTTTACATGGCGCGCCTGCCGCTGCAGGGTAAGGAGTCGCATTGTTGAATTGACATAGCAGGCCCAGCTAACTACTAGAGATACATACGTGTATGTTTCATAGTCCCAAGATTTCTTTGTCAGGAACGTCGAACATCTCAATGTCGGGCAAAGATGCCGAGCATATCAATCGACAGACTTTCTAGGTTCTCAGACATGCAGACATTTCAGACATGCAGACATTTCAGACATGCAGACATTTCAGACATGCAGACATTTCAGACATGCAGA